AGAATTTAATAGGGAACAGAGCTCTCCAATGGAAATAGTTTCAACTCTAGTTCTGATTGCTGTTTTGAATGCATTATATTCATCAGGCAATCCATTAAGAATTAGGAGAATCAGATCCTCATCATCAATAGGTGATGCAGCTAAAGCCAATTGATCAGCAATGGACTTGATCTGAGTCAAATAAGTATCCATTGTGTGGCCTTTTTTCACAATTTGACTAAGTTTATTCTTCAACTGGTGAATATGTGATCGTGACAAAGATGTGAAACGTTTGAGAAGAACACTCCACACTTCATGACTTGTGGAACAATGTAAAACAGAAGTGAACATAGATGGTGAGAGAGTTGCAGTTAAGCAACTGAGAAGATGAGAGTCTATCAACATCCAATTTGTATAAGCTGGATTCTGAACCTCATGATTGTGTTCATCAACAATAGTGGATGATGGACATACCTGTGTGCCATCAACAAAACTGAGAAGCTGTGTAGCTTTCAGAATATTGTGAACTTGATTCTTCCAGATAATAAAGTTTGTGGCATCAAGTTTGACAGTGACGAAGGCATTCAGATTTGTAATGAGTAGTGCAAGATTTGGAGGTATGGAAGATGAAGTAGAGGATACAGCAGAAGAGGACAGATTCAGAGACGGCAGGGAAGACCCCATTGATGAATCCTCAAGAACTAATGCTCGCAAGAGATGATGGCTCTGATACCATAACAAATATTTTGCAGAAAGTAAAACTTTGCTATTATTCAGAAAGAATGAATTATACAATTTACAGAAATGAAGATATTTATAAACTACACAAACTAACTCTGGTTCAAGCTAACTAATGCATAACAAACTAACTAACTCTAGTTTATTCTATAACTACCTAATTACTCTGTAACTGTCTAACTGATGCAATGATGTAGCCACAGCAGTTGCAGGTGCTGATGATGAGGAAGAAGTTGAAGCTGTCAACTGAGTAGCTGGAGCTGGAGAAGCTTGATCAAGAAGCTTGATCATGACTAGAAGCTTGATCATGGCTAGACTCTTTAACAATTTGGCCTAATAGTTATGTAATACTTTTTGTAGTATAAGATTTGGGATTATTGTGGTGATGATTTATTTGGTCGTTAGGCTTGGGCTTGGGCTTGGTGGGCTGGTATATTAGTTGCGTTAAGTTTTATCGACTTTCTAATTACTGTGGACTAATAGTTTATTTGATAATGCAAATATTCTCATATTTGTAATTACTTTCCTATTGTTTGATAAATAAATAATAAAAAAAGAAGAGAAATTGCAATGCATAGTAATTGTGTGGAAGGATTATGGTTCATGAGTATGTATCATATATACTTTATAACTACAGAAAAAAATGTATAATTTTAAACTTTTTGAGTCATAACTAAAAAAAAAAATTCATAATCAAACACAAAAAAATCATAACTAAAATCTCAAAATAATGTCATAACTACAGAAGAAATTTGATCATAACTAAAGAAGAAAATAGTGTAACTAAGGGTGCATATGATATACTTTATAATTACAGAAAAAAATGTATAATTTTAAACTTTTTGAGTTATAACTAAAAAAAAAAAAAAAAATTCATAATCAAACACAAAAAAATCATAACTAAAATCTCAAAATAATGTCATAACTACAGAAGAAATTTGATCATAACTAAAGAAGAAAATAGTGTAACTAAGGGTGCATATGATATACTTTATAATTACAGAAAAAAATGTATAATTTTAAACTTTTTGAGTCATAAAAAAAAAAAAAAAAAAAAAAAAAATTCATAATCAAACACAAAAAAATCATAACTAAAATCTCAAAATAATGTCATAACTACAGAAGAAATTCGATCATAACTAAAGAAGAAAATAGTGTAACTAAGGGTGCATATGATATGGAGGTGTATATAATAAAATTCTTTAGTAATTGTGTCATTCTTTATTTTTGAATTATATAATAAATATGAATCAATATGATTTAGATTAATGATTCATTTACATATTTTTTTCCGACTCTTACTGATGAGAGTCTCATTCGAGGGGATTTGAGGGAAAAAAATTGTGTGAATGTAGTGTTTTTTTTTTCTTCTAGCTCATTAGTTTGGAGCAACACATAAATAAGATTTACTGAATAATTACACAAATAGAATAAATGAAATTGGAAGCATTGACATACAAAATTCAGACAATTGATGAGTTAGAATTAGTCTTGTTGAGAATTGGCAATCGGCTATTGCTATTGCTATTGCTATCAAGTCTCTTCAAGTTGGACTAATAAACATTCATGTATGCACCACCGGATTCCAAATTCAGCTACAGCAGAATTTAACTCGGCACACATCAATGATACTGTTCCTCCAAATGACTGAGTCAGCTATTGTAACATCAATGAGAGGATCAACGCTAAATTAGATGTTTTTTACGAAAGTTTTATTTTTTAGACCAATTTTCTAAATTTAGTGACGTGTAAAAAAGATAATTGGCTGATAATCAAATAATATATAAAAAAGAGTTGCCTTTAATAGACTGTTATATCATTGATTTTGAAAAATGGGTCTAATTTTTGAGTTAGAATAACTGCACAAATAAAAGTTAGTCTATCTTGTGAAGGAAGTAAATATAAATGAAGTAGAACAAATCAAGAAGACATAAGAAAATTCTATTAGCATATGCTACAAAAAATCTCAATGTATATTATTTATACGGCTCAAATATAAATTCCATAACAAAAGTCAAATGTTCAGATATAAATTTTTAAATAAAAAGTAGTTGTTCAAATATAAACTTTTGAACATAATGTATAAATGAGCAATTTATTTTTATTTATATATTAAAACAACACAAATAGTGTATACTAAAACTTTTTGTAATGTGCGAATAGAATTATGTTGTTTGTGAAAAATATTTGGAATAATTTTTTGATTTTTTACTAAAAAAATGTACAAAAAAATATAGAGAAAAAAGAATTTTTGATTTTTTTGTATAGTTATTTAACTTTTAAATTTTTTTTGCTATTATCATAAGTTACCAAAACAGTCCTAAGGACAAATACAAGAGAGGGTACTAAACAAACAGAGTAGTCTTGCCAAACGAAGCAGCAAATCCATCTATAGAGAGTAGTCTTGCCAAACAAAGTAGCAAATCCATCTATACTATTATATATGTGAGCACATGATTTGGTGTCTAATAGTCCATCTATACTATTATATATGTGAGCACATGATTTGGTGTCTAATAGTGTGGTGGCTTCTTCTTCTGTCACGTGACAAATTTTTCTATCCTAAATATAAAACAATATTATTCAAAGGCGTGAGTAAGAATTGAACCCAAGATCTTACGTTTCATTAAGAACACTCTTACCACTTAGACAACATAGTATTATGATATTAATTCCTTTATTATTTGTTTTTATGCTTACTTATCCAAATTGCACATGCGTGCCATCCATTAGTATATATATAACTGTTTCAAAATCAATACAACCAACAAAAGCAAAAGTGGGGAGGGGACTTCTCCAAGCCAGGAAAATTGTTTTAAAGGTTTTTTTTTTTGGTCATTTTATCCTTCTCTAAGGTAGGCATTTGAACTATTCAATTGATCCAATTCTGGTGTTTGCATCCCATTTGCGTGACATCTTCATGGGTTTGATTTGGTTTTGGTTGTATTGCATGATCTCTCTCTAGAACTATCATTTTTTGGTTTCTGAAAACTTTTTGTTCCATCGTAAGTGCATGATTTTGCCTTTTGAAGTTGTATACTTGGATTAGCTTTGGTATCATGAACAAGCTCTTTTCAGTTAAGTTTTGAGATTTTTTTTTTAAAAAAATAAAAAATAGTTTGGTAAAAGAAAAAAAAAATTTAAAAACTCATTATTTTCATATAATTTTCTCTTTTTTGGGATGAAAATAATTTAAAAAAATTTAAAAGTAATTGTTTTGTGTTTATTTCTGTGAAAACTAGTATGCAATTTTTTTGAAAAAATATCACAAGCAAATTATGAAAAATCAATCAAACAGATACTGAGTATCAATTTTACCTTTAAATATTTTATATTGCGTCAATTTAATCCAATTAATAAGATCTCTTTAGAAATTTAATTGAAATGAATCAACATTTATAAACTTTTTTAAAAGTTATTGAGAAATTGATGTCTAATTCAATTGGATATATATATATATATATTTCTAATTTATCAGCGAATGTTTATCAACTAAACTAAATCAACATAACATAAAATATTATAGGAAAAAATTAATACAATAGGAAGTACAAGACTAAATTGATATAACCGGCAAAGTTAATTTTATTTTTAAAATTTTTTTTTTTTACGGTGAATACCATCCACACAGCTGTTAGACTAGTTGCAAATTATTCCAATAAGTTATGTTGTCTATTTTTCACTGATTTACTTTAATCGAATCGGAATACTTTTTCTTCGTGATTGCCTAGAATGTCTCACAATTGACAATTATATATGAATTTTGAATATAGAAAAGCATTTTTCCAAGAGGCAAGCTAGCCATGGCTTCCTCGCAAGGAATGCAATTGTGACTACAACCCATCACCTTCATGCTAGTACTAGTACAAGTAGTAGTGGTGGTGATATTGTCATTATCAGCAGCAACAATTGCAGCACCACCAACAGAAGCAGATTTGAAGAATGTTGACTGCATGAATCGTTGCGGGAATTTAAACATCCCATACCCATTCGGCGTGAAAGAGAATTGTTATCGCAGCGAAGATTTCTTCATTAATTGTAGTGATTCCCAATTGCCTAGAAATGTTTCACAATTGACAATTATATATGAATTTTGAATACAGAAAAGCATTTTTCAAAGAGGCAAGCTAGCCATGGCTTCCTCGCAAGGAATGCAATTGTGACTACAACCCATCACCTTCATGCTAGTACTGGTACAAGTAGTAGTGGTGGTGATATTGTCATTATCAACAGCAACAATTGCAGCACCACCAACAGAAGCAGATTTGAAGAATGTTGACTGCATGAATCGTTGTGGGAATTTAAACATCCCATACCCATTCGGCGTGAAAGAGAATTGTTATCGCAGCGAAGATTTCTTCATTAATTGTAGTGATTCCCAACCATATTTACGGCATAGCGATATCACTATTTCAAATATATCGCTTGAGGAGGGTGAGTTACGCATCATGAATTACATATCTCGTAATTGTTATGACCGGTTAGGTACACCATTACAGAGCAACTTTTATGGATGGCTCGTCGCCACCAATTTCTCCATATCTAGTACCAAGAACAAGTTCACTTCTATTGGTTGTGACACATATGGGTTTCTCCATATTTTAGTAAACGAGAGTTTAGTTTTTACAACTGGGTGTGTGTCAAGTTGTATGAGCAACTCCTACGTTCCTGATGATGGATCTTGCTCTAGAATTGGTTGCTGCCAGACCTCAATCCCAAAACGACTCAGCCATATTGAAAATGATGCGCATAGCTTCAACAATCATACAGATGTATTGGACTTCAATCCGTGCAGCTATGCCTTTGTTGTTGAAGAAGCTGCGTTTAATTTCTCCACAACTTACCTTCAAGATTTTAAAGAAACCAAGGTGCCGTTGGTGCTTGATTGGGGAATAGGGGATAATAAGACATGCGATGAAGCTAAGAGAAATTTGACAAGTTATGCATGTGGAGATAATAGTGATTGTTATGAGGCAGAAATTGGTAATGGGTATATCTGCAAGTGTTCCAAGGGTTACGAAGGGAACGCATACCTCTCAGATGGTTGCAAAGGTGTCATGACCTCATCTGCCCCTAGTAGAATGGTATCGCGATGGTCAGTAATCCGAGATTACCAAAGGCCAACTTACAAAGATTTACACACAATCAGAGTATACATATGGGGCTTATATGTGCGGAAGCAAATAAATTTAAATCTAAGTAGTCCATAAAAACTGTGCATAAATCAAATAAACTGACATACATTTTAACATGATGTACAACTTGGATACAAATAAAATAAGTACTTGTTACGTCTTGATCAAAAGGCTTCTCAAGCCGAAATATATAAAGACATGAATTACAACTAAGAAGCATAATCTTCAAGATGATACAAAACATGAATCAAAACATCTTGCACAAAACATTTTAGGCATCACCGCCTTCTTTCTCGTCACCTACATATACATATATATATATATATATATAAAGAGAGGGTGATCTTGGATACTCAGTGAATGATATTAGTAATAAAAGTTTGAATGAATGATATTCGAGATCTTTATCAAAACAATACATAGCATAGCTTGTACAAAATCAAGGGATGGACCAAGTCATCTATAAAGTCTTTCAAAGCCCGAGGGATGCTTACTAGCATCAGTATAATACAATGGATGACATTCCTGACAAAACAATGGAATAATCGACCCGAAATCGATTAGACAAACCCACCCGCACAAGGCCCGCACAAGGCCGTCGGTGGCAAGGGAGATATCTCAAACAAGGGTACTAGTTGCATTATAGTCCCCTAGCACTAAGGACTTCCCAAGAATGTCAGCAAAGCAAGATAATACTTGATACAGAACTAGGAATAATCATTCATACTTGAACAAATACTTTTTCAAAACGAATCAAGCAAAGCTTTTATCAAAACATTAGAACATAGCTTTATTAAAAATACCACTCACATAGCTCTTCGGGTGACGGGATTAAAGCAAGGATCTAAGGCCTACAAGTACATAATAAATCCCATTGAATGCATTTCACGAAGACAAGAAGAAATGCTCAAAGATGGATATAAAATGCATCCCTAGAACAAGCTTTACATGAGTGTGAATGATCCCGGCATTTCTTTCAAAACCAAGTCAAGACAAAGCAAAGCATGTGCTGGGAGTTGAAACTCTATTTTTCATCTCAGGAAAACATGTAAGGTACCAACCAGGTCTTGGCCGAGGTCCCACACCTCTTGGCCGAGGTATGGTCTCCTACGCCTAGGTGCGCATGCAAGGCAGACTAAAGTGCAGGTGGTCATGCAAGATAGGCCAAGGTGAGATACGATGCTTGGCCTAGGTGTGAGATCTAGGCAAGAGTGGGTCTCGATGACTACACTTAGGGAAATGAAGTCAGGAAAATCTGGGTTTCCTCTTGAAGAACACGAAGAACATAAACATGAAGAACATAAATGCCAAAATCATAACTTCTCTATTCAAAATTTGAGATTTCATGAGATGAGTTCAAAAACATGGACCTGGGTACCCGTGCTTGGAGATTTCATGAAAACAAACACAAAAACATGGATCTTGATACAAACTTTTGGATCAAAATATAGTTTTCCTTCAAGAACACAAGAACATCATTTTCTCTTTGTAAAACCAAAACTTTAAATCAATGCATGGCTCATGTATCATGCTAGATCATGCAATGTGATCGAATCAATACAAAGAACAACAAGAGTAGATTAAGAATCTAACCTCAAAACACGGATCTAACGGTTCAAGGTGTGAAGATCAAGCTCGGAATCTAGCTCTATCTCTAAGAACTTCCTCTTCCTCTTCTTCCTAGAGCTTCTCTCTCAACAAGGCCAGGATATGGCAAAATAGTATGGGTTTCTCAGCTAGCAGCTGACTTAACCCTCTACTGGGAGACGTGGCAACGCCGGATTGGATAACCTCAAAAAGGTTCCAGAATGACAAGACAAGAGTATGACAAAGTGTGTATAACAAGTAAGGTGGCATGGGCACTCTGGCAGGTAATGATCTCGGATCAAGACATAGGCTTCGGCAAGTAAGGTCTCAATGATCTCGGCTAGGAAGGATAACACTTGGCCTAGCTGTGCCACACCTCGGTCTAGGTCATACCAGTCCAGGAACAAGATCACTAGGTGCAAGGATCAAGGATGTTGGTTGCCTAGATGATAACATCTCGGCCTAGGTGATGCACACCTCGGCCAAGATGATGGCATCTCAGCTAATATGCCAGGGTAAAGGTGGAGGTCAACCAAGGTGGTTCCAAGATGGTCCTAGGTATAAGAGGTTCAAGGGTGTGACCTAGGCTTAACACACCAAGCAAGGAACAAACATACAAGCAATACTCAAACAAATCACATAAGCACAAAACAAGACAGGGACCTTTACTTTAGGTAAAACAAGTCAAAATCTACAAATGCAAGCTTATCAAAAGAAAAAAAAAAATCATGCAGATGCATATGAACATAACTAAGATGAGAATGAGGGTCATTACAGTCTACCCTCCTTAAAGAAGTTTGGTCCCCAAACTTAAGTTACCTTGCCCTGAAAACAACTCCGGATAACGAATTTTCATCTCTTCTTCCATTTCCCATGTGGCATCCTTGCCGTAATGCTCCTTCCATTCAATTTTCACCATCGGTATTGACTTATTCCTCAACTGTTTCACTTGCCTATCAATAATTCTCATCGGCTTCTCCTCATAGCCTAAATCTTCATTAACCACAATCCCGGAATAATCAATCACATGCAGTGGGTCCTGAATATACTTCCTCAACATCGAAACATGAAAACCATTGTGGACTTGACTTAATTCTGGCGGCAAAGCAAGCCTGTAGGCAACGGGGTTAACCTTCTCAAGAATTTCGAATGGCCCAATGTATCGAGGTGTTAGCTTACTTTTCTTCCCAAATCTTGAAACTGCTTTCATCGGCGAAATCTTCAGGAATACATGATCCCCAACTTCAAATTCTAACTCCCTTCTTCTCTGGTCGGCATAACTCTTCTGTCTACTCTGAGCGGTTTTGATTCTTTGCTGAATGAGCTTAATCTTCTCAGTTGTCACTTGAACTAGCTCGGGACCAATCAAGCTTTATCTCCTACCTCGGTCCAACATATCGGCGATCTGCACTTCCTTCCATACAAAGCTCTATACAACGCCATGCCAATGCTAGCTTGATAACTGTTGTTGTAAGCAAATTCCACTTATGGCAATGCATATCTTCAAGTGTCTGAATTGTTCTCTCTGTTTGTCCATCGGTCTGGGGATGAAAAGCTGTGCTAAACCTCAACTTGGCTCCCAAAGCTCTTTGTAGACTCTGCCAAAATCTAGAAACAAACTTCGGATCTCGGTCTGACACAATGGACATCGGCACTCCATGAAGTCTAACAATCTCATTTATATACAAAAAAGCAAGTCGATCGGCATTAAAGGTAGTCTTGACGGGCAAGAAGTGTGCTGACTTAGTTAATCTATCAACGATAACCCAAATCGAATCCATACCTTTTTGTGTCTTCGGCAAACCAACCACAAAATCCATGGAGATGTGTTCCCATTTCCACTCAGGAATTGACAAAGGTTGAAGAAGTCCTGCTAGTCTCTGGTGTTCTGCTTTTACTTGTTGACAATACAAACACTGGGACACAAACTCAGCTATTTCTCTTTTCATATTTGGCCACCAAAAAGTTTGCTTTACATCTTGATACATTTTGGTGTTCCCTGGATGAACGGCAAATCTGGAACCATGGGCTTCGTGCAAAATTCTTCTTTTTAACTCTGGAACGTCGGCCACGCACAATCTTCCTTCAAAGTTAAGTACTTGATTTTCGATGGTGTACCCTTGCCTCGGCTTAGTGGCAATCTCATCAATCACCTTCTTGAAGAATCCGTCCTCCATCTGTCTGGTCTTCACTTTCTCAATAATAGTCGGCTTCACTGAAATCATTGCTAAACATGCCAAACTCCCAACTAATTTCCTGCTCAAAGTGTCGGCCACAGAGTTTGCCATTTACCCTTTTTCCTATTGACCAAAAAAAAAAAAAATGAGACTTACGTGTAGATCTTAATAGGTGAATTTATTGTCTAACGGATCCTGTGACAATTAATGATGTTTTTATCAAACACTATTAAAAAATGTCTCTAATTATTAATTTTCAACGATAGTTTAAAAATTTTATCACAAAAAATATCACTAATTATAAGTTTTAGCGATAGTTTAAAAAAATCATCATAAAAAAACGTTATTAATTTTTAATTTTCAACGAGAGTTTGAAAATTTCATTACAAAAAATGTTACTAATTATAAATTTTAGTGTTAATTTATAAAAATCGTGACAAAAAAAATTATTGATTGTCATATTTTTGTGACACATATAAAAATCGTTACAAAATATTATTTTTAATGACAAATTTATTAAAATTTATTTTCAATAAAATTTTATCTCCTATTAATAGTTTACCCATCAGAAAAATAGGTTTATATAATGGAAGGAAAAGGATGTAAAAATAGTAAAGGTCACGGGAGGTTATTGTTGTGTTGCTCCCTTGGGAGGGCCCTTCTCTTTTTCATTGTTTGGTAGGAAGGAATTTGAGTATCACATGACATGACCTTCTAGAGAGAGAGAGAGAGAAAAAAAGAGAGAGAGTCACGTCATGCTAACATTCACAGTTATCGCTGTCACGACACAACTCAGAAAGTGCATCACGAGAGTAGCTTCCCATGAACTAGGATTATTTTATTAACTTTTAATTCATTATTTTTTTTTTATAAAAAATTTTTTTAAAAAAAATCAAAAAATAATTTTTAACCATCTATTCAAAACACTCTAAAAATGTTAAAACTTCGTGAATATTTTATTGAATTTTCTGTCAAATTACTAAAATATTATGAGCAATGATTTATAGTTCTAAATTTAGAATTCTAATAATAATTTTAATGATGTAACATGGAACAAAAAAAAAAAAAAAAAAAAAAAAAAAAAAAATTATTCAA